AATATATTTCATGACATTCTTAGTTTCAATACAGAAACTTAATGGCAAATATATATGTATATATATCAAATTTGGCGAAAAAACAAACTTATGATTGCTAGAAAAAAGAACGAACAAACTATTCGATACATTATTTTTATTGATGCAAATAGTCTTTCAAGGACAACTCATTTTATCATCAACTTTAGATCTTTCTTTTCGTTCTCGACAAATAACTAACTAAATAATTGCTACCATTGTATTCGCATATAAATATATTTGCTGTAGACAACAACAAGAAAGATTCGAAGATTTAAAAAAAATACCATCTAAACAGGAAGCTATTCATATACCTCCAACAAATGTTGATATTAATAGTATAGCAGATACATTTATTAGAACAATCGTTCAATTGATCTTGTCAATATATGGTTTAGAATTTATACGAAAAGAAACAGAGTATGAATGGTTATTAATCAAAATAATTTCAGTCATAAAGTATGTTGAGTCATTTTTGATATCATGATAGATTACTTGTTTGATTCAAAAAATGAAAATGACTTGTCTTATCAGTATAATATCTTGATGAATAATAGGTTTTATGTTGTACTTAAAAACAAGGAGAAGTATTATCTCTTCACTTTATTGCAGTTTAAAATCCGACACACATCTTCAATTAAATAAATATATTTTTTTCTATCAATATATTCCGTGTCAGTGACTCTCTTTCACTTGCTTCACACACTTAACAACATTCAAAGAAGAGAGAAAGAGAGAGCGCGCGCGCGAACAAAGAATAAGAACAAAAAAAACCAAAAAAAAAAAATGGGAAACAACAATAAAAATAAAATTGTTGCCGCAGTGACTGCATGCAAACGCACAAGAAGAAAACGAGTTTAATATGTATATTCAAATTGTGCATGTATGTCATCAATAATAAAAACAGATAAGTTAATTTTTTTTTTGTTTTCTCAATCATAATAATAACCAATAGCCAAAGGCCAGCCAACAACATTTAACAGTGCAAAGAACAACAGATAAAAACAAAAAAAAAAATGAACCCATACATAGGGAAAAAAGAAAGAATAGATATATTTATATATTTATATATATAATATAGAAACGGTTATCTCACTGTTATTTTTTTATTCCGGGAGAGGAAGAAGAAGAAGAAGAAGAAGTAGTAGTAGAAGAAAAAGTATTATCAACTGATAATGTTGAATCATTATTATACTTTGAATAGATAACATTGGCAAAAATCGCAATAAATATAGCTAATAAAGCAAAACCAACAGATATAACAAATGCCCATTGTTGATCAGTCAATGTTCGACTTTCAAATAATTTCAATGATTTGAATTTTCGAGAACATATTAAACGATATCGATTTAGAAATGAAATATGTTGATCATGATTATCATTATTATTCAATAAACGATTGTCTAATAGTTTTGAATTTGATAAAACAGTCGGTAAATCTCCTGGTCGTGGTAAAACAAAATGTGTTGCAGGACTAAATGGACTATTTAATGTTAAACCTTCATCTGTCGTACGTATAGCACAAACACGTACACGATAATCAACACCGGATTCTAAATCTGTTGCACGATATGATGTTAATTCACCATTATAAATTACTGTATAATCATTTTCTTTTCGGTATGTTTGAAGTTGTAATATATAACTGATTGTATCATTACCAAGTGATTTATGTGCTTGCCAATTAAATACACATGAAGTAGATGTTATATCTGTTATATTTGGAGCTAAAGAAGAAAATTATAAGTATCTCTTTAAAACTTGATAGTTCGTATGAGAATTGGGGTATTATCGATACTTTTAGTAAAAGTCACACTTCGTTATTGCTCTGCATTCGCGAGTTATTCGGAACTTATTGAACTTTAAAGAGTAAGAATTTCGATTTACAATTCTGCATTTCATTGTAATTCACATATTATTCCGCTCTAGTTAACTTATTGAATAAATAATCGCTAAGCAGAAAATCTTATAAAACATCAATGAGTAGACGTATTTTTCATATAATCTGATAAAAAATACTAACCTTTTAAAGCATTTGGTGGTGCTTTTGTTGTCATAAATGTATAAATATCCGACCATGGACCAGCACCTGTATCATTTTTCGCACATATACGAAAACAATATGATGTATTTTCTTGTAATTTATTTATTTTATGTGACGATGTATTTCCAGTATAGATACAATTAAAACTAAAAGAAAAGAATAATTTTAAATTTGATCATTATTTATTTATTTCTACTTACGTTCCATCTTTTCCTTCCATTTCAATAACATAAGTTATTACACGAGTTGATACTGTTGGTTCACTATTATTTGGAGTTGTTGGAATGGTATGATTAATTGTGTTCCATTTTAATTTTAATGAATTACATGTTGCTGATATACATTCAAGTTGTGGAGCATCGGGCGGTAAAGATTTTGTATGACATTTAATAATTGAAGAATATGGACCTTGTCCAATTGTATTTAAAGCTCGTATACGAATTCTATATTAAATAAGAAATTTACATATATATGAAAATATTTGTAAATGATAGAAATTTTACTTATAAGCTGTATTTGGTAATACTTCATCTATTGTAAATTCAGTAAGCTCTGGACTAACAAAAATAAGTTCTTTTTCGCCAATATCAATATAATAACCCGTTATAGATGATCCATTATTAGCTGGTTCTTTCCAAGTTACTGTCATTGATGTAGATTTTGGATAAGCTTTTACAGAACTAACAATTGATGGTGGCGAAGCTGGTGTAACACATGATACTAACATACTATACGGACTAGGACCAGCTGAATTCACTGCCTAAAGAAATAAATAGGTAATAAAAAAACGTTTTAAGACAATTTACCTGGACTCGAAAAAAATAATGTGTAACCGGTGTAAGACCTTTTGCTTCATAAGTATTATTTGTTCCACAGTAAAGTTGCATGAATGAATCATTTTCTTTTCGTGACCATTCAAGACGATATTCTGTTATAGTTGCACCATTATTAACACCTTCTTCCCAACTAATATATGCAGTATTTGGTGTACGACATTCAACAGCAATATTACGTGGTGCTTCAGGTACACCAAAACCAGAAAGAACATCAAGATATTCAGACCATGGACCAGCCTATAAATGAATAAATCAATTATAATTAAATCTTCTTTTTTAAATTTAAAATTCATACTCCAGCTCGATTGAATGCTCGAACTTGAAATAAATATGGTCGACCGGGTAATAAACCAGCAACAACACAATCAAGATCACGTCCACGATAAACAATACGTGATGAACTATCAGGATTCGTTACTTGTACTTCAAATTCTATTACAGGTGAACCACCATCATAATCAGGATATGCTATATTTATGAAAGAAAAGAAAAATTTGTTTTTATATCGATTTAAACATTTTATTTTGACATACCCCATCGAAGATGTAAAGAATTTGCTTTTGGTTTTCCTGAAATCTTTGGTGGATGACATGACGTAGGTGCTACAGCTGGTGTTTTTATTTGTGTTATATCCGATGGATCACTATGACCACCTATACTTGAACATGATAACCGAAGAGAATATGAATGACCAGGTATAAGTTGTTCAAGTAAATATTCTGTTTCTAAACCATTATAAATCATATGAAAACCTACAAAACAAGATTTGAAATAAAATCAAAATTTTTGTAATATTTTTACCTTTCGATTCTTCTAATTCAAGATGATATTGTTGAATTTCTGCACCACCATTATCTCTTGGTGGATCTAATAAATAAATTCGTTTTATTTATAGTATAAAAAATCTAAACTTTTATTTTACCCCAAGCAATACGACATTGTGTTGCTTGTATCTGTCCTTTTATTCTCGGTTTAGCTGGCGAATCAGGTCGATCAGGTAATGTTTTATATGTAGCTATCTGTGAATAATTACTTTGTCCTTCTTGATTATGTGCTGCTAACTAAATAATAATAATGATAAAAATTTCTATTGACAAAAAAAAAACAAATATTATTAATTACTCGAAATTTATATTCAGTATTTCGATATAAATCTGTAACTGTACAAGTTAACAATGGACCTGTATATCTATTTCGAAAATAATTTGATTCATCATTCATTTGTAATGTAAATGTTTCATCAATGGGTCGATTAGTCCATGTCAATGTTAAATATTTAACACCTTTATCAGATAACATAGGAGGATCAGGTTCAGGAGGTATTGTACCCAATGTACTAAATTGAATTGTTTCACTAAATTCACTTCGTCCAATACTGTTCTCAGCAGCCAAACGAAAGCCATAGAATGTTGCTGGAGTTAATTTATTAATCAAAAATTGTTTTTTTATACCACGATATACTTCAATAAATTCTCGACCTTTGCCCTAATGGAAAAAAGATTAATTATAAGATTAGTCAAAAAGGATAACATACTTCATCGTATTCAAGAATGTAATTAGTTATTTTTGAACCATTATCAGCTGTTGCTGTCCATTTTAATGTTAGAGAATTTTTTAACCGACTACCAAGTAATTTGGGTGTTGAAGGTCGATCAGGTTCACATTGTTCAGTTGTAAATGGAACTGGATTTGTATATTCACCTTTACATGAATCAATACAAGCGCATACTCTAAGAGAAATTTATTTATACTTTTGAAGTATTTCTTTTAAAAAAATATTTACTTGAGATGATATTCAGTTGCTGGTTTAAGATCTTTCAGCGTTATTTCATTTGCATCACCACTACAAAAAAAAGAAAACAAAATCAATAAATAAGTTTTTTTTATCTTTAATATCTTACCAATAAACTTGTTTATATTTAGCATCTTGTCCTTTATCCGATAGTAATAATTCATAGATCAGATTAGTAAAATCAATTGAATAATCTGATTGAGATGATGTTGATGATGTCGAACGTGGTGGTTGAATTCTTACTAGCGCACTTCGACTTTCAATATCTTGAATCTAATCACATGAAAAATATTATTTACAAAAAAAGAAACATGAAAATATTCTTACAATCGGTGCAGATAATTTCGATAGACTTGTTTCAATCGTTTGTCTTTCTTTATCAAATTCTGCTGTAGTTGCTAGATCAACAGGTTCATTCGTCGATTGAACAATCATATCTGGATAAAATGAAGAATAATGTGATGGATGATGATGATGTTGTGGTGGTGTTTTATGTGAACCATCTAAATTATTTGTATATGATTAGATAAGATATATCAGATAAATAAAAGAGACAACAAAAAAAGACAATGACTTAAAACCTATTAGAAATTTTGTATTTAAACGTATTTGTCGATAACTTTTAACAGGTAATGATCGATTTAAATTATCTTTCATTGAAAACATAAATTTGACTAAATTAATATTTAGTTTTATCTTTTCATAGAAAATAAAAGCGCTCTTTTGAATATTTAAATAAACTTACTCATGCTAACATTATTTACATATGAATTGTTATTTGTATGAGACGGAGGTATACGTCGTTTAGGTCCACCGCCGTTATTTAAATTTCTTCCATTTGATGATGATGCTCCTCCACCACCACCACCACTAGTCGTATTACAATTATTATTTGTTGTATTATATACAGATGAACTATGTGATTGATTATTAGTTGAATTAGATGATGATGTTGTACTTCCTCCTGTTACTGTTGTTGATGAACCATTACTTTCTGACAGATGAAGTAAACAATGTGATGCTAAATAGACAAGAAATGAAAAAAAATAGAATGTTTTTTGCATAGTTTTATATTTCATACGATTTGTTGTTGGTGATGTCGAATTACAAGCTGAACGTGGAGGAGGGTAAGATAATGTTTCTGTTGGATAGGGTCCATATACATTTGGATTGTGATATTGAGATGGATGGCCATAAAGTCCATTGTATGGTGATGAAGGATAACCGGTATGCTAGAGAAAGAACAAAAAAAAAACGAGTGTTAATTAGTCATATATTTCTTGTCTTTTTATATTTTACCATATGATGATGTGGAGGTGGTGGCGGATGTGGTCCAGGTTGTGACATAATAACATGTGTTAATACACCATTCTCGTCTAGTACTTGTTGAACCATATGTCCAGGTGGTAAATGTAAAGGCAATGGAAAAGCTGGTCCGTTCTCTGAGATCATTCTCACTGTTGCAGGACCTAAAAATTTAATATTTAATATTGTATTATTCATTGATATAATATACAGATGTGATATAAATTGACAAACTTTTTCTTTCTTATTCAAGGTATAGAAGCTTAGTTAAAAGGTCATCGACATTATACAGAGTGGGGGAGAAGAAAAAAAACAGCAACTGTTTGTCACGACTGATCGAATCGTGGGCGAATGACTGATTTGATGAATAGTATCATGACGTCAGTCTAACACAACAATAATACAAACGATTATCTTCTATCCAGGCACTGTTACTGTCGAATAGAACGATTAATAATATGACGATAAGTCGAGTTTTTGCTATTCTTTTATCTTTCTATACAAAAGAATATCGCTGTTTATATGTATGCTATTCTTGAGGTCGATGCCACGCATAATCCATATCAATCATAATCACGCATTACTACTACTTCGTTCGTTTTCTACTGCATAAGTTAAACGGGTACAATATTGTGATGATGATAAATCACACACATACGTACATATACATCTATATATATACATATACATACACACACATATATCTAGACATATATGAGAACGACAAAAAAAAAAAAGAAGAATTTGTTCGAATAAATAAAAACATTTCTTTTTCTCGCTGTCCTATATTAATTAATTTCATAAAAAAAAAAGAAAGTCATTAACTATTTCGTAAAAAAAACATACTCTGTAGCTGCTGCGCAGATGACTGAGCAGCAAACCATGGATATAATTGATCATGACTGGAAGTTGTTGATGATGATGATGAATGTATTTCACTACTACCATTCGAGTTACTATTATTATTATTATTATTATGATTAAAATGAAAACGATGATGATCAAAAAGATACTGTTGTTGTTGTTGTTGATGAAAATATGGATGAGGTACATTAGGTGGTGACGGCGTTGTAGTCACTAGTAAGCGTTGATGTTTTAATGAATCGGGTGAAGATGTATTTGATGAACCAGATGATGTTGTTGGATAGAATCCATTGACTTGAAAACCTCCCATTTCATACATGATTATGCGGTTAATAAAAACAAACGAATAATCACCGTTTCAATAATTATTGACAATTAAACGAAGACTATCTTTTGACAAGAAGATGTTCTCGGCATGTATGTATCTCGGCCATAGGTCGTACTTGTCCAATGTACTTTGTTGCAATATGAATGTGTACCAATACTCGCGTCGTTCTTTTCTTTTTCTTTTTTTCTCTTTCTTATTCTTCTCCTCTTTTTTTTTCTGTACATACAATTAGAATAACTGTAGAGCGAGCGAGCG